TCGTTCGACGGTGAAAAATAAGTGAAGTTGTGAAATGTTCTGACGGTGATTGCATGGTTCATACAGTAAACATTCACTAAATTTTCTCCATGTGTTTCCCACTCAATAACGATGATTTTTCGACCTCTTGATCGTTTTCAGACATAGATACAACGGTGAATGACTAGTAAAAATTCGGTGAATAAAGAGTATATTTCGGTGGTGAATCCACGGTAGTCTGCGAGTGAATTTCAGGTTAAATGGCGGTAAAGAAGATAGTAACGGTAAAGTAGAAGTTTTATACCAGCGATCCATTGAAAAATTGCTGGATGAAGTTTTATTTGTAAATGTAAAAAAATTTCATGAATTAATATATGGGGCTAATAAAAGATAAATAAATAGTTAATAAAAATAATTTGAAAAAGTATTCAGTCACTATAATTTTTGATATTATAAAAAAAACACCTTTTATAAATTTTTGTAAAATTTCAAGATTTTTTGTTTTATGAAATTTTGAATTTAACATGGGCGGGCTCATGAAATAAAAAAAAAAATTTTTTTTTTATTAATAAAATTTAATGCATTTATTTTTGGTGACAAATTAAAAAAAAAACGATTTATTATTTAGAATTCATGAAATAGAAATAATTATCAAAACTAAATTAAGTATCCGTAAAATACATGGTGATTAAAATGCATTTTTGATACAAGTCTGGGATAGCATAACAGGAAAATTCCTCGACTTTCAAACTGATGAACCGAGTTCGATCCCCGGTCTGGGCGAATTTAGCCTAATTTTCCTCTCTATTTACTTCGATATATCATATTTTTATCCAAATAAAACTGACATTATAAATATATCTGTTATTTTGTTTCTCGTTTTCCGATTTTTGTAATGTAAAATAAAAATAAGTATTTAAAAAAAAACGAAAGCAAATCTTACAAAATCATTCATAATTTCATGAATTGTGAGTATAAATATATCCAAAATCAATCTTATATCTAGGGCAACAAAACCACTGTAGACCAGTGTATAATTTAAACTTCTACTCACACATTGACACTCAAATTAATAAAGCCAAAAAGCAATTCAAAAGCCTGTCTAGACTATTCGCCTATTCTAAATTTCTAAACAGGAAGGTCAAAATATTATCTTACCAACTTCTAATGCTTAAGAGCCTGCCTCAACATGTACAAAACACCCGAATCAAACTATATAAAATTCTATCACAACCTAACTATCCTAAATACGGCAAACATTGGACGTATTGACAACCACATTATCCGCCTTTGCCGCAATCATTTTGCCAATGCATCCTCGTCTACTGAAAATAGTTTAATATCAGGTCCCTTTTACCCACAACCACAATACTTCAATCAAGCAATGACATCAGGGGACACACCTCCCGAATTATTCACATACCTGGACAGCCTAGGACTCATTCAAGACCCTCAATTCATACCGTTAATATACCACGTCAAAAGAGGCCCAAACGCCAAAGCTATTAATTATGACTCAAAAATATTATCAAATACCGACATACAATACTGCACTTCAGTCCCACAAAAAGACAAATTGGTTAATCCCCATAATTGTAAGGAATACTGGTGGTTTACATAATCTGCTCATTTTTCTCCTTTTATTATTTATTCTCTTTCTCCAGTTTTCCTTATTTGTTGCTGTATGTATATATATATTTATATTTTGTTGTATCTCTTTTTCTGTTTTTCTTTTTAATACTATAAGCCTTTTTAATATACATCGTTTTTTTTTAGGCTAACTCGTTACTAACCATATACTATTAATCTCTACAATATTCATATGTATAAAAGAATGAGACTAAAATTAAACAAAAAACAAAATATGTATTGCCCATCGAGGCATCTCAGGTACCAAACCATTATATGTAAGCTTCTATGAGAGCCATGCAGGCCAGGTAGAATAAAATAAGTTTTTCAAATATTGTAATAGGTCATGTACGTTTATACCTATATATCATTTACCTTGTATATCTATGTACCAATAATTTCAAAATAAAAGTTTTAAAAAAAAAAAACTAGGTAAAGCATTGGGCGCGCAACTAAAATAATCCGGGTTCGAGTCCCGGTCTGAACTGTCAGAAATATTATTTTTTATTTTATTGTTTGTAACAGTAGCGTGAATTTTCCGAGTGTATTGAGCGTACAGTGTCGGTCATAATGTCGAAGATTCACTTGTGTACATTCATCTTTTCTGCACTCACAGTCGGTACATCAACTGTCTTAAAACAGACGTTTATTACTTACTTCTCTATTACTTGGAAGTGCATAACTAATGTTTGCATCGTAAAATCACCGTATATATTTGATAAATTTATAGTAGACGTCTTTCACAATGGTATCCGATGCTGACTGACAAATCGCTCAATAAAAACGAATCTTATACGGTGAAACGACCGTGAATTATTCGTGCTTTTACCGTGTCGCCGAAACCGCCAGGGGATTGAAGAATATAACTGCTGCCTAATTATTACATGTTGTTCGTGGCCATCGACAACGTTTTCTGAATTGTAATAACAAATCACTTCAACGATCAATATTTAATATAAATATATAAGTAATTTTTTGAGCAAAACTTATTACTAAAATGAAAGTGAACATAATAATAGAATAAAATTGTTTATTTTTTGGTTTATTGCGGAAAAATTCCTGAAAAGCATCATATTTATTTGATTGAATGAAAAAAAATCATTTGTCAACATTTATCAGAAGTCAAATTACACTGAAACCGACAATTTCGGTGTAATTTATAAAATTCAATCAAATTTTTGAAAAATTGAACTTAGATCTTGAATAACTTTTGAACGCGTAGACAAATCAAAAAATTTTATCAGACCTTTTTTGTAGAGCGTTCAATTCTCTATAAAGATGAGAACAGCAAATTATAAGTCAATAAGTCGTTTAAACGGTACAAAAATCGGAAGCCAAAAAAATTTTTACCATGTTATTCTTATGGGAATTAAAAAAATGCGATGAGGACAATCTTAATATTAATATTAAGGGCTCATCTTTTCACAGAAATTTTTTTACACCCAAAAGAGACTTTTAAGCCTGTTTGGAAGAAAAAAAAAATTAGAAAAACGGTTCACCCTAAAGGCCATCCCTGCAACTTCCCGCTAATTCCATTCCTGGGCGCTTAAAATTGTACTTATGACATTTTAAAGATTTTTGAGCTCAAAATATAATTCATGTGATATTTTGAGCTCACTGAGTTCAAAGAAATAATATTTCTATGCATTTGAACTCTCTCAGCTCAAAAGTCTGATAGAAATTTCATAGAACACTATTTTTGGAATTTTCAAACCGCAATAACTTTTGAATGGATCAACCAATTTTCACGCGGTTGGCGGCATTCGACGCAGTTTTATCATCCTCATGAGTTATTTTCAGGTTTTGATTGACCGAACCAAAAATTTCGGAGTAATCCCGAAAAAACCCTTTTTTTGATTTTCTTTCGTTCACGATATCTCTCGAACGAATCAACCGATTTTGACCGGATTAGCGACGATCGGCGTGGTTTTTCAAGCTTAAAGGCGGATTAGTTTTTGAAGTTAATCGATAGAGCCGTTTAAAAGATATTCCAAAAAAACCACTTTCGAAAATGATTTTTTTCTTATTTTTTTTGAGATTTTTCAAGATTTCTTAAAATCTATCGGTCCGAATCAGTTCGAATTCTCAGGAAATCTAAGTTCAAGGGAACTCTTTAGAACGCCGTTTAGTTCGTTCCGATCGGTTCAGTCGTTCAACAGTTGTAAGCGAGTCACATACTTACACATACCACACACACACACACACACACACACACACACACACACACACAACACACACACACACACACACACACACACACACACGACGCAAGAAGACTGATACGTGCTCACCCGGGCGCGTCTCCCGGAGCGGATGGGAGAACGCTCGCTTTTTTTTTCCCCGGGCAGTGACAAATATCAGTCAATAAAAACTCTGTGGTGTTATTTGATCAGTTTGAATTATCTTATAGTTTTTTAAGTAAAGATCCAAAAGTTTGGAAATCGGATGAAGACTATATAAAATGTAAAAAAATATTAATTGAAGTAAATGTGGTTAATGATAATGCTGAAAGAGGAGTGGCATTGATTCAAGAATATAATAACAGCTTGACAAAAAATGAAGAACAGATGCAATATTTATTACGTGTTGTAGAAGATCACAGACGAAAGATTTCCAGTTGCACTAAAAGCGCTTTTGTAGCAGCTTATCCAGCGACATAGAGTGTAATTGAAAATTATTAAAGCTTTTTTTTGATAATTAATTAAGTATTCTAAAAAATTGTTTGAAAAAATATGTCAATAAATTACATATCGTTATTTAATCTAAAGAGGCTATTTTCTAAACATAATTATAGTATGGATCACAAGCATAAGCAATACGTATTGGTGAAAAAGTTGATAGAAAGAATGATAATAAGTGAGTTGTACATAAATATAAAGTCTAACATAAATAATCTATCTGTGAAAATTACATAAAAATTTTTTTAAATGTTTCGAACTCCAAAAAGTAGTAATCGTTAGGAAATTACTAATTTAAATAATTTTTACTGTCATAAAATTTCAAAAAATACAATGATAAACAAATTTTTTAACTTGGAATTCATCATAAACTAGTTATTATTGAAAAAAATAGATTTTTTCGTTAATTTTAAGTTTTAAGTAGCTTTAACCCTTTAGAGTCTGACCTTGAAACCCCACTCCTCGGTCTGGCGGAGCCCGATAGAATTAGAAAGAGCGCGAAGCAAATGTGACAGGGCCGTATTATAAGAGAAAAAATTTCACCTGGGCCGGAAGTAAAAAATAATTTTTTTTTATTTTTAATTTATTAAATAATAACTATCAAAGACTTAAATTCAAAGTAAGAACAACATTTGGTTTAATTATTAATATAGTTAAGTATTTTAATTATCAGCATAATAATTACTAAAAATAAATACTTAGGAATAAAGTTTAAATTTCAAAATCAATTCTAATAATATAATTAGTAATTATATAATTAGTATATCATCGGCTTTAAAAAAATGTATTAAATAATTAATAATATTTTAAATAATATTTTTAATAATTTAATAGTCGATTTTTTGGAAAGCACTTTAATTGATTTTATGGTAAGCAGCAAAACAAATTAATTTACACAAAGATACTTGACATTGTTCACATTGCCATATACTTCTAACGTTCTTGCCATTTTCCGTATGATTTCCATTGATAATACACATAACACATGGTTTTTGGGAATTCCTTATCAAGTTGTGTTCAAGTTTAGATTGTAAATTAACAGTTAGAGTAGGTTGAGCATTCGGATCTACCAGTAGTTGGTTAACTAGGTTTATTCGAAATTGTAGCTGGTTATGACCACGGTTATTCAGAGATGGTGAATTGGTGTTTGTATATAAAAGGAAAGAATTAATAATTGCTACGTTAATCACGTAAAATAAAATACATTTCCACCATTTTTTGGCTGGACGACCTACGTTATAGTAGGATCTATATTGATCGTTCAAATCTACACCACCCATGCCTTTATTATATTTTTTAACCGACTCTGGACACGATATAATATTTTTAGACTTTTTTTTTTCTCTTCTTTCAATCTCAATTTTTTCCAGAGGATTTGAATTAGTTGACAGCATAAGCACATCTCTTTTATCGTGCCACAAAGTCGCTGTTACTTTTCCTGATTGCAACACTCTTGATTCTCCTTGTTTTAGTTTTAATTTTTTTGGCTTTTTGAAAGCTTCAGGCCAGTTCTGACGATTACTTCTAACAGTTCCACAAGCATATGTATTTTTATCAAGTAATAATAACATCAGCCGAAATGATGTGAAGAAATTATCAAAATAGACATGATGCCACTTTCCTGTAAAAGGCTCAGTCAAGTGCATGACGACTTGTTCACCTAACAATAAATCATTTTGGGATTCTTGTTTTTTTCCCAAATAAATATCACATTTCAGCAAATAGCCAGAATGACTATCAGCTATAGTCCAGACTTTTATTCCCCACTTAGTAGGTTTTTGGGGAATATATTGCTTAAAAAAAATACGACCTTTATAACCAATCATTGCTTCGTCCACTGAAATTTCTTGCCCAGCTTGAAAAAAATTTGCAAATTTAGAAGTTATATCAAGAGCTGGTCGAACCTTATTTAAAGGATCACTCTTAGTTGCTTTTCCATCTGCATCACTCAAGTGTAAGTATTGATTTAGTTTTTGGAATCTTGAAAAAGTCATCTTTGTATTTTTTATTTTTTGACAATTTACGAAGTCGCCTCTAAAATACATAGCTAATTCTGGCAATTGCACTATTCCCATGTATATATTTATTGCAATATAAGTTTTCATCTCTTTGGGACTAGTTTCTTTCCAATACAAATCAATTCCATTGATTTGTTGACAGTGAAGAGCGTAATTATTTGTCTCAGTAGCTAGAATTTTATAAAATTCTTCAGTAACAAATAGTTGGAAAAAATCAATCTCGTCACTACAAGGTGGTAAATCATGTTGGGGACCACGTCTTAAATCAAAAGATTCTAACTCATAATTAACAACATTATTTGTCCATTCTACTTGCGATGATTTTCAATCTGATCACGATTTTTTATTTCATTATTTTCATTAATGATTTCATTTGAAAGCTTACTATTTAAATCGTTATGAGATGTCAGATTTTTACGTAGATTTTTAACTTTCTTTTTTGTTAGTTCATCTGCTTGTTTTTTCTTGCCAGTTTTGTTTAAACTTTTACTATCACTACAATGAATATCAGAATCTTCAGAAAATTTTATAGCATTCAAATTTTTACAATTATTATTATTATTATTATTATTATTATTGTTGTTGCTTTTATTATTATTGTTATTAGTCTTACTACTATAACTATGATTAGACTCATTGTGATGTTGATTATTTTTAATTTTAATCACAGATTTTTCATTATCTTTGTCAATACATTTTTTCTTTGCTGATGGTAATTTATTATCTTGGACTGTGACAGGTCGATTTCTTAATACTCTCACGTTTATTTTATCATCAACCTCCAAAGATTTGATATTTTTTATTTTTCTTTTTGGCATCCTAGCGACTAATTATGTGCAATAAAATTATTTTTCAATTACATGGCAATGTATGAAATTTAAAAAATTCTTCTAACCTTATTTTTGGAGAAACTATTCCCTCATGTCAACAATACTCACTACGGCACTGTCGACGAACGCAGCGCGAGATTCAAGTGAGTGGAAGGGTACTCACAGATACACTACTACTCTCACATGTCACTCACACATGCTCACGGGACTCTACGATTCGCGCTCTCCCCACTAGTCTCACACGTAGACGTTTGAAGATCCTCTGACTCTAAAGGGTTAACAGCTAAACTATAAGAGCTACAAAAAAATATCTTTTAACAAAATTGTAGGGCATAAACCCCCCTACAAATTAGTCATTTACATATTTTTTTTATCTTCAATAGTTTAGTAAATAAACGCGATTTACTACTATTTTCCTGAAAATTCAGCTTAAATGACATTTTACGTCGAACCCGTTGGAGTTACAAACTCGACGCAATGGACATTTTTGTAGAATATTATACCTACAACAAGAATCCATGAGTCAAAATTCCCAAAAAAATGTTTTTCTGGGTGAGCGGAAGGAAAAACGTATAAAAAATCATTTTTCAATGTTATTTTAATGGATAAAATTCAAAATTCTCTAGCAGTGGGTTAAAATTTGAATTAAGGTTGTACGGACACTAATGCACTTTTGAAGATCAGAAGCTAATTTTTTGATATGTTATGAATTGCTATCTCATACGTCTAAATTAATTTTTTGGAATAGATCTGTCGAAGGGTTATCTTTTAATAAATTATTAAAAAATTGAAATTTAACATGTAGCCTATAGAGACTATTGGCGGATTGCACATATATCGATTTATGTGACTGCCTCATAGGAAGATTAAAAAACAAAAAACTCCTATTTCAGTCAATCAACTTTCGTAGAATACGTTAAAAATAAAATGAAAATTTTCTGCCGAAGGCTTTTAAAGATATTTTAATGCAAAAGATGAGAAATTCACGAAAATTTCAGACCGACATATTTAAAAATAAACAAACCACGTGATTCAGCGCAGTGTGGCAACGTTGCACAAAATAGAACGCGCGAATTTTGAATTTTAGTAATTCCTGTGTATTTTTATGGGTTATGTTTTTCAACTCAACACTACACATAACAGTGAGATAAATATAAACAGCTGTTAAGTGTGCGGTGTTGTCAGGTTGTCAGGTCCAAGTTTTGTGAAAAAATACTTGAGTCAAACTATTCAAATTTTTAATTTTAATGAAAAAAAAATTTAGATTCTACTATGACTTACGGGGTACTGTCCGTGCAACCTTAAGGGCTCGCAATATGCTCAAAAATTTTGTTTTTCAATACATTACAAGATTTTCAACCGGGATTTGAAAAAAAAAAATGTTGCTCAAAAATGAAGCATCCTAATATATATCCATTACATGTAAAATTAACATGGATGGTAAAATATCTATAGATATTATGTACATTTATTCCACCAGAGGCGCTTGTGCAGGACCTTCCTAGTACAGCTGTTTTTTCGGCAACTAATTTTGAACGACTTATGTTATTATTAAATGCATATAAATGGATCAATTATATAATTAATTTTTTTTTTTATTTTATAATAAAATGAGCATTATGAGTCGTGCACTTTTGGATTTTCCAAACTTTTTTTTATTTTAATTCATTATAGAGAATTGCGTATGACTCTATCAAATACTATATCCATAAAATTAAGCAAAATAATTAATTAAAAGTAACAATGAGCTTTCAGACCTGACCATGTCTGATCAGGCCTGATCAGGTCAATTAATGTCTGATCAGGCATGGTCATTTTTCATATCTGATCAGGCCTGAAGACTCATGCCTGTTCATGTCTGATCATTTTTTCCCGGGTGATAATTATCGTATCACGCAGAGTGGATTTATTAATAGTTTATTTGACAACGTTAATTGAAGTTACTCAGGTTTACTTACTTGTCATTTGAAGCCGCAAGATAACTATGAAGTTCTTTAGGCTGATTAAATAAAAGTTTCGATATTTCAAATTTGTCACTATTTACTTTTGTGTACATTTTAATTGCTTCTTCAACATTTCCTTGTTGTTCTAACATTTTTGCATAATTATAGTAACTCAATTTTTCACTTATTTTATTTTCATTTACTGCTAGAGTTATAGCTTCAGAATGTCTGTTACAAGTTTCCAAAAAATTACCAAGAAGATCTAACCTTCCAGCTTCACGAAATAAACGTTCAGCATCAGCATAAAGTCCTAATTCAACAGCAAGATTCGCGATTCTTGTTTCCAAATTTAAATTTGAATTTATAATACTTTGTCTAAAAGCTTTTGTACCTCTTACACATTTCATATGGCCTAAACAAAGAACAGCCATATTTAATTGTTTTGTTTTTACACAAATTTTAGCAAGACTCCTCCACACAGCTTCATTTTTAATAGTTTTAATTGATTTGAATGCTTCATCTGTATTATCCATGCTTATATGAAAACTAAAATCCATAATAGCTTTTTTAATAGTTTCATCACAAAAACCTAACTCTTCAAACTCTCTCATAAATAACTTGGTTAATTTACTTCCATGACCTTCCTTTTCTGAATCAAAAACAATAATATAAGGAGATTTAACTTCTATAAGACGACAATAAAATTCCTCTAAAGAACGATAATCATGAATTGTTATACCATGCTCAGGAGTAATAAACATTGAAACTAATACAACATTTTTGAAAACATTTGACATTCGTTTAGGATTACAAAAATTTTGAACATTATAAGTTGGAATTGTTTGAGTTTGACATACAAGTACTCGGGGATCTATTACATCCCAACAATGTGTTACCACAAATCTTCCCTGTGATTTTGAAATAACTTCTGAATAGTTTTGGTGATTTTCACTTAATTTGGCATAGTCAAATTCAAAAATTTGGTCACCCTCAATATCCCATATATATAAAATCGAGCTAGGTAATAAATTTGATGTAGCAACAGTAATTGATACACATCGACAATCTGAATTACATTTTGCTTCAATAATTTCGGCAAAATCTTTTATAACATCATACACTGCAAGAGTTCGTGTGTGAAGTTTTGCTAGACGCTTACTCAAGTCCCAAATCTTTAATATACCATTAAGCGATGCAACTGTTAAGTATTGTCCTGTTAATTCCATTGTAATGGGTTCACCTTCTTCAGGTAATATTGGTAAATTTTGAACAACATTTCCTTTTATTGTTCTGAGTTGAATGAGAGAAGCAGTCAATATAATCAATGTAGATTCATAAATAAGAATTTTTTCAACATCACACTGAAAGGATTGTTCAATTAATGTGTGTAATACCTCACTTTTATGAATACTATAAGTTACTACTTGTTTTCCTGAAGAAACGGCGACATAAATTTTATTTATAGCTAACATCTGTACTTGAATATCGGTAATTAAACTACTAGATTCATTTTCTTTTTCTATTATTAATTTAGTCGGTGAAACTTGACTGACACAAATATCTTCATTGTAAGCAGCGCACATAGGTTGTTCATGAAAAATAAATACGTTAGCAACACAATTAGCTGCAAAAACAGGATATCTCAAAAAAGCACCACCCCACGTTAATTGTTTCACTGTACCATCAACAGTGCAAGATTTTGGAGTAAAAGGCCAGCCATATTCATTGTTACATGTTAAAAACTCTCGTTTCCAAAAATGAATAGTTCCTAAATTAGTTCCTGCTGCTAAAGTTTGATTAATTTTACAAAAAGTAAAGCTAATATAAACTTCTTGAAAGTTAGATACATTTTCAGACGTTAACATTGTTGGAGATAAAACATACGTATTACCATTTTGTAAATTCCAACATCTTAAACTCAATTCCCCGGTAAGAATGGCTAGAGTATTGTTTCCGATCCAGCATAACGTATTTTTTACTTTAAAATCATTACTTTTACCAGACAACTTGACTTTTATCATTTCTGTAAGTTCTCCAGTGAAAGAATCAATTTGAAATTGGCTCACGTTAAATCCTTCTGTCATTACAACGATTGAATCTCTTGATTGATGGTGGAGTAAACCACATAATGTTATTCCACCTGTATTTAATACTTGTTTGCAATGGCCTTTTGTATCAATATAATAAATAAATCCATCTAAAGATCCAATAAAAAAAGCATAGTTATCTTTTTGGAACTGAGGAATTTGAACTGCTGTTCTTGGTCTCCAATTGTTAAATAAATTTAATGATCGATTATCATCGGCAATAATTTTTTCGTTATTTAAATTTTTCGGTGTAAATACTATTGGTTTGAAAGTAATATGAGTAAACGACTTCTGTAGTTCATGATGAAATATAATCAATAGTTGACCTTTATTATCTACTCTCCATCCAACGATAGATCCTGCTGCATCCGCAGATACTAATCTGCCACCATTCTGACTCCATTCTAATAATGTAATAGAATCTCTGTGCGGTGCTCCGACTTCAGTAAACTCATTCCGTTCAAAATCCTCAGTCCAAATTTGAATGCTACCATTATCTTTACCAATTATTAATAATTTCAGTTTTGGGTGCCAACTAATTGACGAAATTTGAAAAATTGAAACTTCATGAGATTTTAAATCGTGAATTAATTGACCGTGATCATCGTAGATAGTAACATAAATACCTTTATTTTGTGAATAACCAGCAATAGCCAATAATGGAAAGTTCGGGTGCCAAATAGCATAATTATTAATTGAAGAAGGTACTAGATTTTGAATTCGATTATCAAAATACAATGCCATCATAATAATATTATATTAATATGACTAGGCACAATTGAAATAGAAATTATTTAATTTATTTATAATGTTTGCTTTTTATTCAACGGTGAGCGATATAAGTGTTTCAAATCATAAGTTTGTGTAAAAACAAACATTGATAACTTGCATCGATAGATGAAAATAATGATGATTTCAGGTAAACATACTCCATTTCATAACAAAGCATACTACCTACAATTGATAGTAAAAATGACAATGAGTGAGTTGTACATAAATATAAAGTCTAACATCAATAATCTATCTGTCAAAATGGTATAAAAATTTTTTTAAAGGTTTTGAACTTCAAAAAGTTGTAATCGTTGTGAAATTACTGATTTAAAAAATTTTTGCTGTCAGAAAATTTCAAAAAAATATAATAACAAACAAATTATCTATTCAACTTTTTAACTTAGATTTCATAAATTAGTTTTTATTTAAAAAAAATAGATTTTTTCGTTAATTTTAATTTTTAAGTGGCTTTAACAGCAAAACTATGAGAGCTACGAAAAAATATCTCCTGGCAAAATTATAGGGCATAAACCCCTCTGCAAATTTGTCATTTACATTTCCTCTTTATCTTCAATAGTTTAGCAAATAAACGCGATTTACTGCTATATTTATTAAAATTCAGCTTAAATGACATTTTTCGTCAAACACCTTGGAGTTACAAACTCGACGCAATGTGCTTTTTTATAAAAAATTACACCTATAATAAGAATCCATGAGTCAAAATTCTGAAGAAAATTTTTTTCTAGGTGCGCAGAAGGAAAAACGTATAAGAAATCATTAAGCGTGTTCAGCCGAACTAAGTCCTGAGTAAACTTAGTAAGATATGTATAGTATAGTAGATAGATATATGTATAGCAGGGAATGCTTTGAATATACTTAGGCTTTAATGTTATTCTCATGGATTAAATTCAAAATTCTCTAGCAGTGGGTTAAAATTTGAATTTAGGATTCGCAATATGCTCAAAAATTTTGTTTTTCTATAAATTACAAGATTTTTATCTGGGACGAAGAAAAAAACTATTGCCCAAAAATGAAGCACCCTAATATACATAAACGCTCGCTATGCAGCATAATTTCACAAGATATTTCAAGATTCATTTTACTTTATAACTATCTCTTTTTAATTTAAATTGAGTAACCTACACACACAGACGTGCACGTATGCGCACACATACACTATCGTTAAATATTTTTTGTTATACTCGCTCCCAAAGTTCAACTTTTGAGCGCTGGGTGGCGTCCGAAAAGGTACTCATTGCCTAGGCCGCAAAGTTTACTTTCCCCTTTTTTCCGTACTGTCCTTGAGCAATCGAATGAAATTTAGAACGAAATAAATCAAATTCTAGTGTACCGACCGATGGATTTTGAGTAAATTTTAAACTTAGTTACTATTGAGTGGCGCTAATTATTTCTCTGCTGGCAGTTTATTACGATGCAGACCTAATGTTAATAAAATAACAACCACGTTATAAATAAATATTAATAAAAAGATAATTATTAATATAAAATTAAGTTTTTTTGTTGTTGTAAAATTTCATAAAATTTAAATATGTCATTATTTACCTCCTATCCCTCGAAAGTTGAACTTATGAAGCGATAATAACAAAAAATATTGTATGTCATTTGGCCACAAAATGGTGATTTTGACAACGACGATTTTACGATATTCGCTTTAAAGTTTGTGACGCGAATGTACGAAAACGAACGTAAATTTCCGGGTAGTAATAAATGTATTTTCAAAAATGTTGTTTTTCGAATATCTCGAATTAGTTTTCAAATTAAATAAAATAAAATAAAGTTTCTGAAGAAATAGATTAAACTAATCATTGCGGAAATTTCGTATAACTCGATTATTAAATTGTTCTAAAAAGTAATTAGAATATCAAAATTTCTAAAAATACATTTATTACTGCTCACTCTTAATGATCTTTGGAAAAAATTTCGTTTGTCCAATAAGTAAGTACTTGATAAAATTAGATTTACCATAAACTTTTGGTGTTGTTAAACGTTGATGAAATAGTCACTTTCTATTGAAAATTAATTTTCAACTTACTTATATTTCGGATAATAATAGAATTAAGATAGTTCTTTCCCAACCTATAGTTTATGCTACTGCTGTCTTCGTCACGCGCTAGTATTGCCTCTCTTACGGGCTATTGCTCACTCACTTCTACGGATGACTTTATTTGTTTACTTTACTAGTTTATCAATGACTTCTCAAAAACTATGTGGTAGGGAATTCCAGAATTTTGTACGGTAATTATACATGTATTAATCTAAGTAATGTTAGTTTTTCGTGAAATTCTTAAAATTTCTTCAATACAAAAATAACAAAACTCGCGGTTTTCTCTCTCTTTTCCCATACCGCCTGTGTAAAAATGTCATTTTCAATTGCAATTATCTTCGGTTAGACGTGGTAAATCGTCTCTAAATTTTAACAGCGTGTGTATTATGTATTTAACTACTTCTATTAGGAGTTTGGGAGATTTGTTGAATTTTTGCTTAAAGGGCCGAACTACCTTAACTTATCCCTAAAATGTTACCAAATTTCAAATAAAATAATTGCGATCCTATTGGCAATCCTGTAGTTATAACTTGAGAATTTACAAAAATTATGAATACAATTTCATCTTTAGTTTATGAAGAATCTTTAATTATCTTGTTAATATAAAAAGTTACTCTTGATATATTTTTCAATTAAAGTTATACATAAGTAGCAGTTTCTTTTAAAGCATACCGAATTCAAAAAGTTGAAATATGAGTAAATGATATATTTTTATATTGTTCATATGTTGATGTTGGAATTTGACATTAATGGTTTAAATGAACCAAAACAAACAGTTACAGTAGACAGCATCGCGTTCGACCACGACCAGAATTATTAGCACGCATCCTTTTTTTCTTTTCTTTTCCTCGATGTTCTTTGTCCTTTCTTATTTCTCTGACCTAAGATAATCATAAAATCAATGATTAATTTTAAAAAATTTTAATAAGATTTAACAAATGAATAACTATCAACAAACCAAAGTATAGAAAGCATCATCAACTCCCATTCGAGTTTTTGCTGATGTTTCTACAAATGGAACACCGTATTGGCGAGCAACTTCTCTTGCTTGTGTCATATTCACAGCCCACGATTGTTGAAGATCACACTTATTTCCAACTAATACCATAGGCACTTCTTCAGCATCTTTCACTCTTTTAATTTGCTCTCTATACGTTCCTATATCCTTAAAAATTTTATAGAATAAAGTAAGGTCATTCAAAGATAGTGAGAAACATTAAGAAACACATACTTCAAAACTTTTTGCAGAATTAACAGCAAAAACGAGTAAAAATCCTTCACCAGTTCTCATATATTGATCTCTCATAGCACTATACTCTTCTTGTCCTGCAGTATCTAAGATATCCAATAAACAAGTTTCTCCATCAATTACCACCTAATAAACACAAGAAATAGTAAATATTAATTTATACTTGCAATATTTTTGAATATAGCTTGATTTAAAAAAAAATAAACTCAATTTACGTATTTTTTGATTAAAATAGTTAGTTCATGACAGTGAAAGACTTTTGTTATACTCCAATAGGTCTAACAAAATTTTGAAATTTTGTTTTTTTTTTTTTAGATAAATTAAATAATAAAAAAAAATAAATTAAACCTTTTTCAATAGTTTTTAAACAAGCTTGAAATTATTTTCTACTTGCATTTTACATTTATACATCCAAATATAAGTATAATAAAAAAAATGTATGTCTATGATTTTCACTGCCCAGATATTCAACAAAATAAAAGCAAATTTAATTTTTGACATTAAAAATAATAAGATATTTTACCTGCTTTCTATATGAATCTTCAATTGTAGGATCATATTCATCAACAAAATGATTTTGTATTAATTGAATTGTGAGCGCAGATTTTCCTACGCCCCCGGCTCCAACAACAACTAGTTTATACTCTGTCATAGTTTTTTTTTTTTTTTTTAATAATTATTATGTTGTTTTTTTTATAATTATTATTCTGTACTATTCTTTTCTTATCAATTAAGATTCTAAAACATAAAAAATAAATAGGTGTAAAATTTGATTGATATATTATCAACCCATAAATTTGTTTGTGTTAACTTACTTCGTTTGAGAAGAGCATTTAAAAAATATTTAAAATTAGATAATTTAAAGATTTTCACTTTTTATGATAATTAACTGAATCACTTAAAAATATCCTAGTGAAAAACATGAATTAATATAAAAGATTCAAAGGTTAATAATTATACGTCTATCAAAATAAGATCCAAGATAACATTGAGGAATATCACTGTTTTCCATTTGAGCAACTATCCATTACACTAGGCTTGTCAATAATTAATAAAAAATTCAATTCTTAAATTGACTTTTTTTTTTTTTTTAAATAATTAAACAATAATTAATTTTTTGAAAACAAAATAGTAGATAGCTATTTACTTTTGTAATGTTACAAAGAACTTTGTAAAAATCACAAAGTATAGAATTTGACAAACGTGAAAAACTTATTATTAAACGTTTAAAGATATAGTTTTTTCGAATAATGCATTCCGATTGCATATACCAGAGATGACGTTCATCAAATATATACTTAGATCCTATAGTGAAATCACGACAAAACGGGATTCACCAAATAAATAAATTTCACCATTTTAGATCTGATCACACAGAAATTGTTTTAAACATCAATCTATCACAAAGTAGTAAAACAAAACCATTATTTAAAGAATTATATTTTTTTAATAAATCAAACAGTATTTCGTAGCAATACTAAGTGTATTGATATTATTAAGTATGACACCAACGTTTCACTCAAAACTTTTTTACTTTCATTATTGCTTATTGCGAGGTTACGCCTTTACTCAGAGACATCTGTACTAAGAAACGTAAGAATTAAGTTACATCCATATCGATATGTAAGTACAGTAAGTACAATGTAACAATGTACTTTGCCAAAGACTATATAAATATTTATATTTTTATATTCACTTTCATCTTATCACTTTACAACTGGAAAAGTAATAAAAACAATACAATAAATATAGAAATGCCCTTGGGGTGTGTTCCGGTATAATATGTTGTAGCATTAAAATTCTCGCTTCGTCGTCGAGGAGATTATTAAAAAAAAAAATTGGAAATTTTAGCTTATTTGCATCATACTGTTGAGAAATATTTGTTAATTTTCAAGATTTCTTTTTTAACAAATAAATTATAAGAATAAAAGATTAAGAAAAAATTAAAAAAATTTCACATTTAGAAGTTGTAAAAAATTATAAATGCAATTTTTTAAAAATAATTTTCTCGACTTAGTTTATTTATTAAATAAAATTCAAAAATGGTAAATTGTCTGATAATTTCAGTGTCATTTGTTTGCACGTGGCCCCCCGAAAAGTTCGAAAAGGACAATAGTTAACCATAGGGAAATAGGAAAAAAAAAAAAAAACAAGGGTTAACGGTATTGACACTGAGCCTTAATGTTAGTTTATTATTTCAAAAGTTGTGAATTTTTCATAATTTATCTTTATTTTAGGTTGTCATTGATTTATTTTGATAAACTTTGAATATTGAAGTTGCCAAGTATAATGTATTGCTAATTATCATCCAACTTTACTTGCTACATCATATTCGATTAAGCAATTATCCAAGTGAAATTCCGATGTTACGAAAATTATATGAAACCTCGTTTGTCAAACATAATCTAGTAGTTATGAGTGATCAAAATTTAATTATTTATTGAATAATGTTTGGAATTTGTATTAAAAGTTTATAATTGATTGTGTGGAAGTTACTTATGTACTACCCACAGAAACTATCCATTATTACATATTTACAAATAATCAAAATTGTTATCAAATGAAAAATTATTCTATGTTGTTAAAACAATATATTCGTATGTTGAAAAAACAAATGACGATACTTGGTCGAATTCGACCAGTAAATTTATTTAGAAAAATGTATGTAGATGAAAAAAAAATGTTTTTTCTTGTCTAGTTATTAATATTTATTTCATATTTATATGTTACAGTTTTCGAGCCCAGTTTTATTTAAAATTATATCTGCTGTCTTTTAAAAAATATGATCCAAAGCTTCCAAATTTAATGAAAATTATTAAATATTTGTGAGGTAATAACTGTGAAAATTATTTAATTACGTTGTATTAAGCATAAGTAAGTATATAAACTTTTTTTTTTTTTATTAAAACTATTTACATGCTATTTATGGTTTTAAAGTGTCGGAGCAGAACCGCCAATTAAAGACTGAATCACAGATGCAAAATTCAATTTACTTGAATAGGATCAAAAAAAGAATCAATGGGAAACTGCTGGTCTTGTTTCAAAGCGCCACTTCAGTCGTCTATCACTGATACATCAAACGTACCTGACATTAAAGAAGGTATATATTTTCTCTCAACTAAAATAATTTAAATATAAATAAATAATTAAAATTTCTTAAAATTATTTTCTCAGAAACTATGGAGCTCAAAAGATTGTTCCCATTAAATTCTTGTACGAAAGAATCCTTAGTGTCAAATGAGACACTAAGTAATAGTAACAAAAAGTCGCTTGTGTCTACTGTGTCAGTTCCAAATAACATAGGCTCTGATAATTGTGGATCATTACCAATTCAAAATAATTTACGCATATCTCGAGCTTTTTATGCAAGATTTCCTCCTCTTTGTCGTTCAATGGCAACAAATGTTAATACGTTTAGTGATAAACATCCAAAAGAGTCACAAGACGAAAAGTTGTCCATGTTATTTGATCAATATAAGGTAAATATAGTTATTCATTTTCATTTATTCACCCTTTTTTTTTTGTTTTTTAATATAATTAACTTTTACAATTATTATTTGAATGAATAGGACCCACATGAAGATATAATATTAGCTGATGGAATCGAAAGACTTTGCAATGATCTCCAACTTTCACCTAATGATTTCAAAGTTCTCGTTCTCGCGTGGAAACTCGAAGCTGAACAAATGTGTCAATTTACGCGTAAAGAGTTTGTGAATGGGTTAAAATCAATGTATGTTGACAGCATACAAGGTATACAAACACGATTACCAGAAATCGTTCAAGAACTGATTAACAATGCTGAAATGTTTAAAGATTTATATCGATTTACGTTTCGATTTGGTCTTGACGTAACTTCAGGTCAACGAATTCTTCCTGTTGACATGGCTATTGTTCTTTGGAAATTAGTCTTTTCAATCCGTGAGCCATCTTTACTTTTAAGATGGCTGTCTTTTTTAGAATGTCATCATGTACGTGGAATACCCAGAGACACTTGGAATATGTTTCTTAATTTTGTAGAAGTTATTGGTAATGATCTTGGTGCATATGATGATGCCGAAGCATGGCCAAGCTTGTTTGATGATTTTGTAGAGTATGAAAATGATCAAGTGAATCAAAATATTACTAAAGACGAGTTTTTGAAAGGCTCAATACACGATAACAATAATTGATGACAATGATAAAAATACCATTTAAAAAATTTTATTAAATTGAATATGTTTAAATATGTTACTGATGAAGCGTTATTTGAGTTACGTTTGGCTGAATTGGTGATGTGAATGAAATATCGAAGAAATATTATTACAATAATATTGACAATATATTAACGTTGCACGAATTAAAATTAAATGTATAAATGTAATACTTAAAATTACTTCAAATCGAACTTGAAGAAAATATTTCCAAAATTTTAAGCACTATTTGGTTTTCTATATTCACTGCGTGCTCCTGAGTTGAATAAACTTCACCTGACTCATTCGATATAAAAATATATAAATACATGTATATGATATAAATAACGATGAAACGAATATTTTTATTGTTTAATTTATTTGATAAAGTGTAAGCTTCAACGAATAAAAAGTGAAGATTTTATATATAGTTTTTTCGTCGTGGTAAATATTTTTTAGTAGCTGTTTGAAATAAAAAAGAAAGTTACTATCCAACAGTGAAAACGAACTTAAACTCTCGTTGTTGAGAACTTAATAAAATAAGTAGATGATAATGATTTCATAAGTTGAAAAATCTGGAAGTAATTTAAAAAAAAAATTTTTTTTTGAAATATTTATTTGTCTTTTCGACAATATTCTCAAGTAAATCAATTGATTTTTATTTGGTGTTCAGCATTTGACGTAGCGTATTTCAAGCATACTAGATGTGACTCATAAAAATGCGATTTACGGCATTAAAAAAATTTTCTCGAATGTAAAATTTCTAAAAATTTAAGTAGTAATCGACTCAGTAGATTTCGAAAAATCTGATAGATAACATTTTTTGAAAATTTACTTTTTATACAATTCCCAGGCACATATGGACACTGTTATGCATTAATGTGTTAAGTGCTATGGAAATCCTATGTACTTAACACACTATTGCATAACAGAGTCCACATATAAATCTTTTCTCGAGGCTAAACAGTAATTTTTAACTTCCCGCTAAGAAAATTGAAAATTTTCAAAAATCGGGAAGTTATTGGTTTCACCCCGTTTTTTGAAAATCGAGTTCTCATCAAGTCTCGACGTTTTGAGGTCCTAGGAAGCTTCCCTGAATGTTTTCGCGATGATGTCAGTATGTCTGTATGTCTGTATGTATGGATGTGTGTGTGTGTGTGTGTGTGTGTGTGTGTGTGTGTGTGTGTGTGTGTATGTGTGTGTATGTATGTATGTATGTATGTGAACCTCTTGTAACTTTTGAATGACTTGACCGATTTCATCGCGGTTGGTGCCATTCGAAAGGGCTTCACTAAACTTAGATTTCCTGAAAATTTGAACCGATTCGGACCGGTAGATCAAGAAAATGCAAAAAAAGTTGTTTTTTTTTTATTTTTTTTAAATATCTCCGAATTGGCTGAACCGATCGGTCTCAAAAACTAATCAGCTCTTAACCTTAAAAACCCCCATCGATCGCCACCAAAAACGTAAGAATCGGTTGATGCGTTCGTGAGATATCGTTGTCGAAAAAAATTGAAAAAAGTGTTTTTTTGTAATAACTTCGAAATTCATGGCTCGATCGATTTAAACTTGAAAATTTTTCCTACGCGAAAAAATTATGAAATGATTTCTTAAATTTCAAATGAATTTTTTTTTAATCAATAGTTAAGACGTTTCTACGCTTGTTATAATAATAAAAAATTATAAAGTGTTTCAAAATACATTAAAAAAGAAAAATAAATGATATAATTCAATAAAATGGAAAAAAAAATTTTTTTTTAATTTTCAAAAATCGAAAAAAAAATAGTTATTATGTAATCACCATTATCGGACCGGCTTAAAAGGTGAAGAAAGGATAGAAGTTCAAAATAGCAAATTTTCAAAAAAATCGACGGATGCACACAATTTGGAAAACACGATTAAAAACTTAAAATTAAAAAATCATAATGAAAAATAATTTGAATATTTTTTTCTGAAAAGGGCATTTAAAAACGAAAATTTTGAATTTCGACCATTATTAAAAAAGTTACGAGCAATATATATATATATATATATATATATATTGGATATAACGCGACTTGTCACGACAATGGCGTCGCCAATTTACAACGGATCTCTACCAAACTCAACATACTTATTCTACAGATATATACCGAGGTCAAGTTCGAAGATGAGCTCAATCGGTCAAGTAATTTAGAAATACCAGGATTTCAAAATTTTGAAAATCATAAAAATTCATATTTCTTCACTTTCTTACTCGAATAACTTTTGAATGGGATAACTTATTGAAATTCTGTAAAATGCATCTGAAAGTTCTTTAAATAAGCTTCAATTTGAGTACCATATCATATGTGTAGTCGTAAAATTTTTTAGAAATGCCAGGATTTGAAAATTTTCAAAATTATAAAAATTCATTAATGATATATTTTTTGGACCGACATGATAGTATATATGAATTAGAATTTTGTCGGTCCAAAAAATATATCATTAATAAATATCCATGCCTGAATAATAAAGTTACTACATTACCATCGTAGTACGTAGTTTGAGTAGAATGGAAGGGAGAGTAAGTAAGTACTGAGAGTATAAGTATAGACTGAGAGAAGGAGATGATAGAGGGGACCCGGTAGCTTAACTGGTAGAGCTCCTGACATGTTATCAGGGAGATCCAGGTTCGATTCCTGGCTTGGTAACCAACCCCATTTATTTTTTCAAAGTCTGTCTTTGCTCTCATTCAATTTTCTTTCACTATCTTTCACTTAATTAACATCCTCATAACTCGAACAGATACTACAAGCTTCCAGCTTTACTAGTATTTAAGTTTGATGGATACCCATCGAACTACTGTGAAAAGAGAATATAGCTCTCGATCAAAAGGGAAGATGAAAAATCCATCTTTAGACTTAAATTAGAAAAACACTAGTCTTCGTCCGAAAATAGGCCAAAATTCTAATTCATATATAAAAATTCATATTTTTTCACTTTCTAACTCGAATAACTTTGGAATGGGATAACTTATTGAATCTTTGTAAATTGCATCTGAAAGCTCTTTAAATAAGCTTTAATTTGGGTATCATAACATATGTGTAGTCCTGATATTAAGTCCTATTCCCCTATGCCAAATATGAAATTTGCTGTTGCACTCGTTTTTTCATAATAAAATCTACTTCCATTTTGGCTGCCGAATGGCACTTTTTTAGCTTAGAGAGCTTTACATAAAATAAAGCAAGACAATCTAACATAATTTGAATGAAACAATGTTTAATCTTCACTACTGAAATGATACTAATGAAAAATTTACATTCAGCATCTTTTAAGAGCATGAACGATCTTAGATGAATTCTACATTGGTAAAAGATTTTTTTTTTTTTATATATTTTCATGTATGACTTAAAAGTTGATCTTGTATAAATTATAGAACGATGGACAGAAATTTTGTTCTTCTTTAAATATGTTAATACGTGATCATATATGAACTTTTTTTCTCTCACTTTCGTATTCAGTAGTTCAAACTTAAAAACCCGAAATTTTGACTGAGTTTAGTGATATCAACCACATAATATTGAATACGTATAAAAGTTATACTTACATAGTAAAAATCATGAAAAAAGGATGAAGAGATATTCGATCTAAAGTAGGATCGTTTTACCTAGAATCGCTCTTAACAAAATAGTTTGAATTCGCGAAAATCTTAATAAAAAGTCAGTTGTTCATATAAAAAATATGTATATTCTGAGTTGATATTTGCCATTTATTTTATTATTATAATATTTATCATTAATTAAATTGTTAAATTATATTTCCAGTAAACATCATATAAATTCAAAACCTTCATATTTGTAATCACCTATTTTCAAATCAGGTAAAAGTAACTTGCCATTAATCGTGAAGGCTGTTATATAAGTAGCCGTTTGACTTTGATATTCTTCAGTTTTTAATGCAATTATTATTTTATCTTCTGAACCAGGAAGAAACTTAAAACTTGAGAAACCTCTAATAGGTATCCAGTTATTTAGCTGCGTAACCTACATAAATGGAAGTTTACTTTTATAATCATAAATAGTTTTTTTTATAGAAAAATATAATCAATATTGATTGTTACCTCAACATGATTAAATTCTTCATCTGCTTTAAGTAAAACATTACAGCTCATTTTTTCATCTTCAGTTTCATTATATTGCTTGACAGAACATCGGCGAGGAATAAAAAACCAACACTTATGGATATTGCTCCATACTCCTGATTCGTGAATCATGTAACCTGTCAATAAAATTTTTGGTAAGTTAATAACATTATTTGAATATGAATATTTATTACATAAACCGAAATCTATTGTAAATTTATTGCTATTTCATATTCGAAATACAACCGAAAAAAAACTCAACGAAATTTATGATTTCGCCGTTTCGAAAACACGTAAAAAAAAATACTAATTTAAAATTCATAGATATCATAATTCATAATTTTACAAATAAACAAATCGGAGAAAATATGAATTTACGTATTATCATTAGGGTGTCCGTTATTTACCAATTTAGTTTTTAGTAGATTTCATAGAAATCTAACTATTGCATTGGTCCTCATGACGGAACTTTTAAAAAATTTTGCTATATTTCGACTAACTCGTCGAGCTGAGTCGAAAAATGCATATGGTTCAAAAGTTTAGAAATCATATGTGTAGTCGTAAAATTTTTTAGAAATGCCAGGATTTGAAAATTTTCAAAATTATAAAAATTCATATTTTTTCACTTTTTAACCCGAATAACTTCGGAATGGGATAACTTATTGAAATTCTGTAAAATTCATCGGAAAGCTCTTTAAATAAGCTTCAATTTGAGTACCATGTCATATGTGTAATCTTAAAATTATGTCCCATTCCGCTATGCCAATTATGAAATTTGCTATTGCACTGGTTTTAAAATTTTTCCGTCGATATATATTTCTGTCGATTGCATAGAAGTTAAAAACCCTAATTTTGTATACAATCCTCGTTCTATTTTTTTTCTATTCATGATGAAATCTACTTCCATCTCGGCTGCCGAATGGTCTTTTTTGACTTCGCAGCGCCCCTAAGATTTTTAGTTCGTGACCTAATAAAAAATATCAGACCCATATAAGCCCTTAATATTAATATTAAACCGTGCCACAAAGACGATATATTTCCCATTTAAATAACATGGGGTTTTGGCACGTTTTACAATTAATTTTTTTGTTTCTATGCCAGTCCATATATGGCAATGGCAAACAAGTATTTTTGTAGAAAATTGAATGTTGTACAAAAACTTTCTCTTAACTTTTTTCGATAAATTTACTTGCTTAAAAGTTATTCAAACTTAAAGTTAAACTAAAAATAATTTCTTCGTTTTTTTTTTTATTTTGACCGAAAAATTGTCATTATTTATGTAAAAATTAATTGTTTATTGACAAGAATATCTCATTTCAACTGTATTATAAGTAAAATTCGTATTAAATATTCCGATAACCAGAAAATTTAATTTACAATCTGAGTTACTCTTAAAATTTTGCAATTTATTTGAAAAAATGTGAGAGGATTTATAAATTTTTACTAACAATTTAGATTCATTGTGTATTAAAAATATTGGTGATTCTATAACGAAGATGTCTATGACTTTATTCGAACAGTTTGAGCTTTTAAGTGATTTCCTTAATTTACCTCCTTCATAGTGGCCGATGTTAGATCAAGGTCAATACGTCCTTTGCCAGTTTGACTTTCCTTCGTTTTTATTGCTTCAACTATTTTTTATTTCATTTCCAGTGACACAGAATCATCAAAAAAAGATAGTGAGGCAATTTCTTCCGATAAATACGACAAATCGAGTATTCAAAATTATACAACGTGCTTATCGTTATTAAAAAATGTAAAGGTAGTGAACGATATTGCTGAAAGAACAGTTGCTTTAGTTGAAGAATTCATTCAGTTTGGTACTAAAGACGAAGAACAAAAACAGTATTTGTGGAAAATTGTACAGTATCATCGCAAATGATATCCTTCGTGTAATAAATAATATTATATAAATCTAACTATAGTCAACAGTGAACAAAAAAATGTATAAATATAATAATTATAATTAATGTCTGTTTTATTGTAAACTTTGTTTTTTTATTATTTTAAAATGTTAAATTCAAAAATTCATAAATAATGAAGTATATTGAGTTAAATCATTGATGAGTTAAAATAATAAATTTTGTTCTGTTATTATTTCATTAATTACTTTTTTTCCTCCTATTCAACCCTCTGTAACTTTGTTTCTGTTGAGTCTAGGAAAAAAATGGACATGAAAAATTTTGTAGAGAATTAAATTTCCTAGAAGATGATTAAGAGCAAAATTAAGAAAAAAATTTCATTCATGTATTAGTTATTTTAAAAATGAAAAAAAAAAAAAATTTTACAAGGGAAATATTGTTATTTAAATGAGAAAGGAGACCCTTCCTTGCGCCAGCTCATTTTTTGAGATATTAAGCCCAAACTTAAGAAGAATTTTTAACTTCCCGCTAAAAATCTCAGATTTTCAAAAATCGGGAAGTTATTGTTTTCACCCCGTTTTGCGAAAATCGAGTTTTCATAAGATCTCGTTTGAAGGTCACAGGAAGCTTCCCTGACTACCCCCGCGATGTTGTCACTATGTCTGTATGTATGTGTGTGTGTGTGTGTGTGTGTGTGTGTGTGTGTGTGTGTGTGTGTGTGTGTGTGTT